AAGAGATTCATCCATCAACTCAAGTTGAAGAGGCATCAACGATGACCCATAAAAATGTAAAGATTGCTTGGGAAAAGTAGTGTTGTTTTCACTGAAAAGCCACATGCCAGTTTCGCGGCAAAAAGCTGTTTTACAGCTCAAGGCACTAGGGTGCAAAATTGCTCCATTAACACCTACGTTTTCCCAGTGATCTCGCATTCAGAATCCACCTTCCAAATCTGTCTTCCGGCGGAGAGCCATTATATCGGATGACTAGCACGAGAGCCCCATTGTCTCTTGTAAGATCGTCAGACTCACTCCAAGGGTGAGCTGAAGAGGAGGTGAGGCCCAGGACTTCTGGGCATTAATCATTTTTACCGAGAAATCTGTCTGACTGTTTTGGCCCTTTTGTTTTCATCGACATGTCGCTTTTAACCAGCAATAAAATTGAGAGCCCAACTCGCGAACATCGACAGCTCCGAGCTTGCCACAATGTACAAACCTATAGCAAAGAGGAATGAACTGCATGGGGTATGCTTCTCAATGGCGCGGGAGTTGGTCCCCATATATGAGGTAATTATTCCTACCGAAGCTCTAAACACGATCGAACCGACTAACTACCATACCATCGAATAGGAGCTGATCTCGTCATCTGAGAAGACACGTTACTTCATCAGTCTATTGATTATCTGGTGAATTAGATGGTTTTAAAGGAGTTGTAGGGTTGAATGACATTTAGCCGCATAAATCATGTCTCGACTCCCATCTTATAGGCTCCGGAGAAGGAAATTCTGCCGAAACGCTAGTCATTCCAACCTCGTGTCGAGTTTAAAAGAGAGTACATATTCTGGAAAATGTGTCCTGCTCCTTACTATAAGGTTGACGTGAACAATTTACTCCTTTTTCAAAGGTACTCTTTGATTTCAAGTGACTAACTGGGACGTCTCCGTTTGTTTTTTTTGTTGCTTTTTTCTAGTTTTCGTCACACCTTTAGGACTCATTCCAAGGAAAAGGAGTAGATGAAAATTTGACGTTTTAGCTTATGAAAGTTGAAAGTGAAAGTATTGAAATTTTATATGACATTGAAATTCATGTGAAATGAAACTCCAGTTCAGTTTCAGTGTGAAACAAGTTCAGAAATCAGCGAACAAGGCTAGATCTGGCAAGTGAGTTTGTGAAAACCGTTTAAATATTTGCAATTAACAGGTCGAATTCAATGAGCCGAAATCGATACAGCATGACCAATTCGTCTTGAATTGTTTTCGTAATTCTCCAGCCAAAGAACTGATCTATAGCAAAGCTTTTGTAAACGTACCCATCGCCACGGTAAGCGCAACACGTGACAAGTTGACGAGATAACGAAATGACCCCAAGGTGGGAGAATTTGTGCGACCACGCCTTTATTCGCCTAATGCGCGAACGACAGCGGTTCAAAATGAAGTAAAGGCATTTTGAAGGTTCCTCTAGGTTGTCTTTTCCGCTTTTATGTTATTCAACCAATCTTATCGACCGGTATTTTAACAAATCGCCATTTTTGAACGCGGAGTGTGCCTTAAAGGGAAATGACTGTGATCACAATTGCTGTGTTGAATATGTACATGATCATCATACTCTGCTCGTATGTACCTGAGGAGTGGGTTGCCCAACTTTCAATAAAAGATCAAATACATCAGTGTGAAAAGCAAATCATCCAATCAGAAAAGGTACACAAGATGTTCACAAGGCTGCTGTTTCATGTGCCTTCGCATGTGTCACAGACTCAAATGATAGCCTACTATATAATGTGACTAAGGTGTGTGTGTGTGTGGCGTGTGTGTGTGTGTGTGTGAGTGTGTGTGTGTTGTAATGTTTGTTTGTATGTGTGTTGACGGAAAAAGTCGTAACTCTGGCTTCAAAAGAGGGAATGGACGCGCCTCAAACTGATAAGTGATGTAGGGGTTAGGATAGGACATTTATTGGTGGGTGGTAGGACGTGATAAGAGTTGATAAGATATCATAAGGGGCCTCAGAAAGGGAGTGTCGCTAATTTTGTAGCGCGGGCCACAGCAGCGATGGGACGTTAGTTCTACGAAGTTACATAGAGGTCAGGATGGAGACCCATTATTGGTGGGGTAGAGTGATAACTCAGTTTGATTAAGAGTACCACAAGGCGGGTCAGAATGGAAAAGGCTACCAACTTCATAGTCGTGGCCACAGCAACGAGATGGAGTTGTTCTAAAGAAGTTAGATAGGGGTCAGGATCAGGGACTAATCATTGGTGGCAGGGACAGTAAGGATGCCCCCAGGAGTCATGGTAGCGACGTTGGAGCCAACCACTGAGAACTCTTCCAGGCCAAGTTTCATTCAAGAAGGGTCACAGAGCATTGCTGGAGTATAAGTTGTATATAGTGTGAGAAGGGAGCTTATAAGCATCAGTACCTGTTCGCATCCTTACTGCTCAGCCTAACTTGAGCCGCGTGGCCCCAAGAAACAATGGGCAGGGATGTCGTGAGTCAAGTTATTTCATCTCTTAGCGAGGAACTCTCGAGTTCCGACAAAAATCAAAAGCCCTGGAAGCTGCTTAACGAAAGTTACTGTTGTTGAGGATATATTTTCACTGATGATTGTCTGGTTATGTACCTCTCGTGAACTCTTTCGACGCTAAGCTGTGCTATTTCCAACGAATGGTGAATGTTTTTTTAGAAATGTGATAAGCACCAGGCATTAGAAAATGTTCATTAAACAGGAGAAATATAATAAACACCGATGTCTATCCTCAAAAATGATAACCCTGGGCGAACGTGTTTGAGGTCAGATACAGAATCTTGCTCAGCCGATCAGCTACGCGATTACCGTGAGATTCAACGCATGCGGGCGCAAGTAAGTGCGCGTTTTTGCCGTCTAGCTGTATGCGTATAACGAACGTTTGAGACAAGTTACCCTTGAGGCGCCTACAAATTTTACAAACGGACCATTGCTGACCTTGCGTTTTGTTGCCTTCTACGCATGGAGACTAATCTGTCCCCAATTTCAAGTATTGGGTGTTCAGGCCAAGTCACGAAAGAATAGGCGGATTCAATTTACATTACCCCCGGATTCAAAAGAAAAATGAGACCCAATTATATAATTTTGTGCTCTACCGTGGTGCGAGGTGGTTACAACGTTCACCTACTGAGATTCTGTCTTCCAGTGACATCCACAGTTCCAGAAAAAAGCTGATAAGTTGACCTATTGCAGGCTCTTCACGTTTGGATGGATCATTTTTATTCATTCACAATCTATATATTTCAGTACATTTTAAGTTCTTGCTGTGTTGCAGATATGTTGCAAACAGATATTTTGACCACATCTGTAAGGAGGAGGAGCGCTGGGTAGTCTAAGCTTGAATTCTGAGGATTTTTTTCTTTTACTGACCACACTGATTACCTGTTCTACAGTAGTGTGATGATCCTCAAATAAGCCTGAAGTAACTGTTAACCTCGAATGTTTCTGAACAGATGAAGCCCTCTGCTTGGGGTCCCTCGCCAGTTCGCCTGGGGTCGTGAGCGGATGCGTCCGTTCAGTTCAAACCGACAGTGAGCCCCAGTATTACCACAGTCTTGCGTTCTAGGTACGATGGTTGATCTCGACGTGGGCCTCATCAACTGTCAAGGGGAGGACTATATTACAAGTGCTTCATGTCAGTGTGTAGTGCGAATATTGAGTTTTACTACCTGTCATAATGCAACAATTTGCGGCACACCTTATGGCGTAAAAAGTATATAAATAAATAAATAAATAAATAAATAAATAAATAAATAAATGAAATAAATAAATAAATAAATATTGACAGCTATGAAGCGCTGAAGCCATCGGGACACTGCAACAGGGCATGTACCTTAGAGCCGTAAAAGTTCTGCAAATACGACGCCACTGTCAGGATTCTGTGGTCTGGTACAACCCCTTCCTCCCCATCGGCTCCTACCTACCATCTACCCCTCAATTTTTCAAGCTTCTAAACACCTTTTAATCTGAGCTTTTGCAAAACTCCTCTTACCGACGGGAAAAACATGCTCCTATCTTCCCCATCCTCTGTACTTGTCGAGTGCAGTATGGGGGAGACGAAAATTGAGAATGAGGAAAATTTGAGAAGTGTGAACAACCGGAAACATTGTCCTCATTTACAATTACGAGTTCCCTTCCCCCTCCAGTGATCAAATACGACACCTCCCGCTGAGGATCCCAGCGGGCGACTTGCCGTGATAGTGAATCATTCTCTGCAAAAAGGCATGATCCGTATGGGATCTATGAGATACGAGAGCAGTTGAGTTTTAAGACTTGATTACATTTAAATGGCACTTTTATTTCAGAACAACTACTTAATAAGTATTACATAAAGACAAAATTTTGTTATGCATTTGGTGTAAGCTCAGAATAAGACTGATAGGTTACATGACATTCACAAATCTTGCTATATCGTTTTCCCCTTCACTTCGCTCTTTCTTCTTGCCTTCTCCGATGCACCAGCCTTCTTTATCCTGCTTGAGCCCATGGTTTTTTAGTAACCTTTGTGAATCCGGCAATACTCCAAGCACTCCATGCCGCAGCTGTGTTCCCTTTTCACATCCTCCCCTACACATCCGGATGTGTACCTCCTGTGCGACCCGGGACGCGGCTAGGGTTTCTGATATGGCAGGAGAAGAGAAGCTAAGCAAAGCCAGCCCTGTTCCTGGCCGGCTGGACGCAGTTGCACCACCATCGCAAATTTGCGTTCTCCTTAGTTACCGTACACCCGCGGCTACACTTGTTGGTCTGCGGGCATTTTTTATTGCCTGCACCTCCATTTGCTCCGTTTTCGTTCCTTTCGTGCCTTTGCTAGCTCTGTTGCGAACCTGTTCATCTATTCTTTCTCTAATCCGACCACTGAAGAGGAATGATTCACTCTGTGTAATTCACTTGTCTATCAGCTCAGTGATTAACCTGTGATAGGTGAGTATATAAAACCTACAGCCGGTAAGGTAAATTATTTCTACCGCAGTTTTGCCAGATCTGGTCTATTCCTAATGCCAGCACAAGAAGATACATGGGCGTTCCAGGTACGAAGTCTCTGACCTCTGCTGACTGAACAACTTTGGCAATATGGTTTTCAGCCTATTGGAGCTCCGTTTCCGGACAATCCAGTGCGAGTACCAGGTCAGCAAAACATGTATGTAGCACTATGGTACAAACACGGAAAACCAATCCATGGTCGAGCGTGGAACGACAACGGTGGTGTACAATGCTCGTTCCCTTTCAATAAAGTGGAGCTATGTGGTGCTAAGGATCTCGGTGGCCTGATTCAGATCCTGACGTACAAGGGTGATTTCAACTCACTTGGTTACTGGTGAGTGTAGAAACTTTTCGGTCATTGGCGTTACCCGAACAGACTCGTTATCAGAATAAGTACGTAATGCCAATCAAAAACTCAGATCTAAGCCGATGAATGAGAAACACAGACCGGACATTGCTTCGAGGTGTGGCCAATCAACGCCGGTTATCGTTGCTTGCAAGGATGGACAGCAACGAATCGGCTATTTGGATCTCAGCACTGAAATTGCTTTAGTAAGCTATAACGGCAAGTCAGAAAGTCTTGCTGGTGGGCCAGCTAATGAGCTGCTTGGAATATTTCGCAACCTCCGTCCTCCACCTACCGGTGTAAAGATATACGAAGATCTGTGGGCAGATTTGAAGTATGGTGACAACTTCCCCACAAATGTTGTCCCGGTACGTGGTTACACCATCGCTAATAATTCTTCAAAGACCTTTTCAGATCGGACAGATTTCACAGTCCGGTGAACACCTGCTACCGTACCCAAGCTCGCAGTGTGAGCCCGTCCCCGCCTAGGCTCGGATGCCTCGGCTGGATGGGGCGGGAGCGATCGAGCCTGTCAGCGGATGAGTCACTGCAGATTAAACGCCATAATCAGCGAAGAGTGCCGGAGGCGGTATACACGGGAATTAGAAGGACTTAAAACTGAGAGAACTGAATCAAGCGTACGGAGTACGGTAACAGCGAATCGCTCGGACTGCGAAATTTTTCTTGTTCCATAGAATGAGGAGGAGATCGGAAGGAAACCTCTTTTGAAACGGAATTCACATTCAGACGCTCTAACTAGAAAATTCATTACAGTCACACTCCGTGATCAACTATCGGGAGTAAATGCGGGTTTAGAACCAGCCGAGGACTGAACTAACCCAAATAGAATCGTCGATAAAAGGATGACTGTGAGGCTACCGATGGTCTTAAGCATAGCAAGGGTCACTTATCCTGCAAATGGGAAACGAAAGGCGATATGGTAACAGAAAACACAAGCGAGAGCGAAACATCAACCACCAACAGCGGCCGAGAAACTAAGTGAAATGATACAGGTGGCGAGGATTGCGAGTTGATAACGTAGCAGGTCTCTGGCGTTCTTTGCGCAGGGAGATGGACCATCGGCTCCGCTTCTGTGGCCGCTCCCGCAACCATGGCTTAAGCCTGGAGAACTGATGACAGAATCGGCGAAGGATAGTCTCACAGGAGAAGCATACTTTCCGATGAATTGATGCTCTTGGACACAGAGACCTTGTCAATACTTTAGGATACAAGTGGACTGCTCGGAGTCTTTAGGCTTTCAGTGGGGCTAGCGATGTAGTATGGTAAGAAAGCGGCTGCTAAGCGGAAATGTTGCTAATCGTGACAGTATGAGAACGTTTCTTCTGTTGGCAACCAATCAAGTCACGTCGTGCGGCTGAGAATGATCGCGTTTAGGCGATTGATAACCACTGGAAAGAGATGGATCACTCAGTGCAGTAGTTTCTGCCACTATCTCAATGACCAGCCATTGTGAATGTTCAATATGTTTCAGGCTGACAACCGTCAGCTGAAGACGGAAACAGGTCCAATGAATCAATATGTCGCCCTGTGGTATAAGCACGGAGAACCAGTGTTTGGAAGAGCGTTCCCGAGTCCAGCGGGCAAGGTAAGTCGTAAAAGTGGCGGTTATGTCGCTGTTATAGACTTCTGGCAGAGACTGAATTCCAGCTTATGGCCACCTTTGGTGCAAACAATCAAGAGAAACGTCTGGCCCAAAATCGTTCATAATGCAATGCCTTACCGTACCTGAAGCCAACGCTGGGTATGTTTAGTGTGCTATTCAGCATACGATACTGGTCCTCATTTGAACCAAAAGGAAATTAATGCCGACTGTGTTTCAAGATGCGGATCTCGAATATCAGTGGCTACCAAGATCTCAAGGATCCTCTGGTGGCTGGACCATGGTACATGTGGGAAATGCAGTACCGGTGATAGTCGTAGACGACAAGCAGAATGAATATGTTGGCAACCTGAACACGTCGTTAGACAAGGCATCTATTGGGTTCGGTGGGAAAGAAAAGGCGAGTTTCGGGCATTGAGGACTAGCATACACGGCATAAAGAATAGCGTATCTCACAGTTAGCTTGGGAACACAAGTTTCTGAAAGAGGGTGTGAAATTTGATGTAGGCAGACACGTGCCGGTTCAGGCAGAGTGGTGTGAGATGCATTCTTCTGCTTCCCGCGGCTTCTTACGCACCCACTGCTTACGTGTCTGCATGCACCGGCAACTGTCTCTCCTTACTGCTCTTGAACACAAGTCCGTGTACACGCCCCTTCCAGCGCCGAGATGGGACTGTGAATGCTTTTCACTTAAACCACATTTCATGTCGAATGATTCTCCGGTGCTACACCAAGAGTTCTCGCGTGGGCAATAGAATGGACCGCCGTTGATCGCATAGATAGCAGTCCATATTTGGCAGCATATCGCACCGATAAATGTGACTGGAAGAGGATAATCCACATTGTTTCGAACAACTAATATCCTTTCCTTTTAGATTTATGCGGGAGGTGCATGTGCCAATTTCAAGGTGCTCCACAAGCGAAGAATCAACTAAACTATTAGCATAAAGACGCTTTCTAAACGATTTCTGTGTATAAACGTTTGGTGGCACCAAACTAGACGGCTTTACTGCGTGTAGAAGGACTTAGAAGATGGAAAGTCTACTGTCCTTCGGCCGAGCAATCAAGGCAACACAGAATAACTTGAATGAGTTGCAACAAATAAAGTCAGTTAAAACACTTGACTTCGTGGGCTATTTGAACTGCCAGCTATGAATTCCCATTCTGCTGATGTCCATTAATCAATGAGGGAGACAACATCGTCAAAAGTGCCCCTTGCTTAGGTTCAAGAATTGGACCAGTATTCAAAGAAGCGAGATTCTCTACGGGAGAGACTACAGAGACAAAGGACAACAGAGCATGAAGACGGGCTGGAAGGTGATCTAGGCAAAGTCGGCTCTGAGAAGGACGAATGCAGTGGCTCACATTTGCCACGCGAGCTTAGTACATATGTATAATAAGCTGAGCATGTCCGTAAATGCTGAGCATGTCCGTAAATGCGTATGCTACTCATAACTGGGACGGAGTGGGCGTGGCATTAAGCACGGCATAATGGGTTAGGCGTAAAATGTTTCAGTTTGAGGCTACTGTCATCTTGCTCCCTACAAACAGAGAAACGGCAACAATTGTGATGAATCTCTTCAAATGTAGGGCCACCGCCACATTTAGTTGAAGAGCACAGCCACGGCTATCACATGTCAGGGATTCCGAGGGATAAGCATGCGTGCATGTGTGTGTGTGCCACGAAATTCATAGCGCGTGTCGCACAATACTCTGGGGGAGTGGGGGAGGGGGGGAACTGGCTGGAGGAAGTGATATAAGGAGTAGGACGGAACCCTACTGGCGGTGACAGAAAAAAGCATAACAGCTGATGAGATCCGGTGAGAGGCTTTACAGGGGTGAGCCGCCAAATCAGGGCACATCATTGGTTGGGCATTTTGGGCGAGTCTGTACAACCTCCCTTTTTTTGGGGGAGGGGTGGGGTGATGCGTCCTCCCCCCTCTGGCTCTTTTCCTCCTCATCGAATTGAGCCGTCGAGCGTAGAGCGGAGGGAGGGGAGCGAGGGGGTGGAGGGGCATATAGTACGCATGAAACAGGAAAATAACCAAACGTCAACCACCACTTACAACGCTAAAACGTAAATATCCCCACCCCTTTCTCCCAACAGTTGTTTTGACGCATGTACACGCCCCCCCCCCCCCCCCTTTACGAAGCCCGTGAAGCGCGAAAAATCAACTATCAAAATAAATTTTTCCCAGCGCAAATACGACCCCCTCTCCTGGAGGCCAAATACGACCCCCTATAGGGGATTCCCCAACAACGATGCCCCAGGGCGAGCATTATTGCTGGGTGACAGAAAGGTATAACAGAAAAAGTTGTTAAGGTTAAGCTCAAGCGTCACCTAACTTGACAGCGCACGTCGCAGCAACAGTAGAAAGTTGGATCCAGCTGGTGATGAAAGGGAGTGACGGGCATATAATAATGGCTGACAGAAAGGGGATAACATTTGATAGGGGATGATAAGGCTCGTTGTCGCCGCGACGTTCTAGCTCAAGCGAAATACTTTTTCAAGCCGTGATCGTCTTTGTTGTGACGGGATTCTCCATCAGCGGGACCATCAACCGTGGGTTAACATGGTATTAGCACCATTGTGTCTTGGAAGGGATTAAACTCGTAGCTCTCCACAGTGAAGGCATGCGTGCATACTCTCGTCTAACAAGTTGTAAGCTACCCCTGCCTTATGAGCGATCGCTATTACGAGCGAGCAAGCGTATGTACCTTCCATAATAAGTCCTAGTTGCCGCGCTGCCTCCTTTAATTCCTTTAGCTGAGCTGATTATATCACTGACTCTGCTCACGTTTTTGTGCATCACATATATAGATACCAGTCGGATCGCCCGGCTGTCGCCGGCGCTCCTCCTTCTGGACATAGGCCTCGGGCTTCGCCGGGCCATGCGGATTTGCGCGTGCTAAGTTAAGGATCGTTGACCAACCACACTGTTCAAAGGAATCTTCTGCATCAGCCAAGAACTGAAAAGCAGCGCTTGTTCCGTCAAGGCGCAGAAGCAGCAGCAGCGCCCCCCCCCCCGCATCACAGAAGGAGGAAAGGAGGTACGGTACAGAAGCAGAAGGAGGAAAGCCGGCCTTAGCCAGCGATCCGACTGGTACGTTCATAACCTACACGGAAATAGTGCAGCCTGTTTGGACAGCCACTGAAGCAGCCTATAATTTATGCAATCTGTCTTCCTAAAGCGTCTTGCTTGAATGCACTACACTACCGCATTCAGCAGTGGAACCCTTTAAATGGCCCTCACTGAAGTTGCTGATGGAAGATAATTGTGGTAAGAGTGATAAAGTCAGTTGCTGCTGTTCATAACATCTCTGTAAACAAACCACATGCATTTGGAATAGAGCTGGCTTAGCGGTCGTACACGATGTCGTTACTAATAAGCAGTGAGGAATGAGTTCTGTTGGAATCACTGAGATCGTTATACTTGAGTCATATCGATCGCATTGTTGTTGTGAGCGGTGAAGCGGATTTTCCCATGCTACCTTGTCAATTTTAGCTCCTATCACTTCCGTACCCGCCAATAACACTCCCGTCCCGTATCACTATCATATCACCCTGTATCGCCTCTCGGATCAGAGGTCCCACTGTTGCTGTAACCTGCGCCACGAATTTGATGACCCTCCTCTTCCGAGGCCCCTTATCGGATCTTATCAACTGTTATCAGCTTCTGCCAGCCCCACCCTACGGCATATCAGTACTTGAAATCATGGTCCCGCCGTTGCTGCAACTTGCCACGAATTCGGTCACCCTCCCCTTTTAAGGCCCCTTATCGAATCTTATCAAGTGTTATCACCTCCTGTCACCCACCAAAAGTGTTCCCGTCCTGCCATGTATATCACTTCTTGAAATCACGGTCCCGCAGCTGCTGCAACTTGCGCTACGATTTCGGTCACCCCCCCCCTTCTAAGGCCCCTTATCGAATCTTATCAAGTGTCATCACCTCCTGTCACCCATCAAAAGTGTTCCCGTCCTGCCATGTATATCACTCCTTGAAATCACGGTCCCGCAGCTGCTGCAACTTGCGCTAGATGTTGGTCACCCCCCCTTCTAAGGCCCCTTATCGAATCTTATCAAGTGTCATCACCTCCTGTCACCCATCAAAAGTGTTCCCGTCCTGCCATGTATTAGGTTGTCCGGAAAGTTCTTAGCGTTTTGGGTGTTTAACTTTAAACGATCATAACTTTCTTAACACTCATCGGATTTAATCCAAATAAGCACCATTCGAATCAGCACACTTTTGCCAATGTGGCAGCAGTCGAGAAATCCCATCAAAGAAAAAAACTGGGTGGTCGAGAATCCACGAAATCTGCGAAGGTCTTTTTTGCCTGGTCTTAATTGATGAAGTATTTTCAGCAAGGAAGTTCTGAAAATGTCTGAAAAGGTGACAGTCGGTTGGTGAAAGGTCTAGAGAATATGGTGGGTGAGGTAGAACTTCAACTCCCAATTCGTTCAATTTATGGATAGTGATTTGTGAAACGTGGGCGGGCGTTGTCATGCAAAAGAATCGGACCCTTTCTTTTGATAAGTGTTGGCTGCAGCTGACAATATTTT